TCCAATTGGTGTACGGGCAAGAAGCAACATTACCAATTGAATTGGAAGTTCAGAGTTTACGCATTGCGTTCGATGAACGTCTTAAAGATAAAGAATCACTCCAATATCGGTTGGCAGAGTTGGACAAATTGGATGAAATACGGGCTACAACTCTCTTCAACATGGAAGCAACTCAAAAACGACGAAAGAATTATTATGATAATAAACTGCATCTGAAGAGTTTTATGCCCAATGATTTGATATTGTTGTATGATAGCAGGTTTAATCATTTTTCGGACAAATTTTAAGTTTGTTGGCATGGGTCATCGATTCAGTACTCGCATTAACTGGAACCAATTACGATTATATCATACATAAAATCGGGGACGGGTTTTCAATTTCTGGAAGAGGTCACGTCGAATGTACTTAGGATAGACCTAATTAAGTGCGTTAGGATGTAGAGGCAGCTGAAAAGTTAGTTAGTAATTACTAATGTGTCAGATGGGACGGAGGTGAGAAACGGACAATAGGGGTAACATGTTGTCGTTATTACCACTAGGTAAAAGAATAAGAGTGGGGCACCTATTTACGATCATTCTCAAGTGTCGCATTCTGTTATTGTTTCTTTTCGATGTTACAATTTTGGGTGTTTCGGAGTACTGGAGCATAGTATTGACGGTTAAAGCTTGAAAGAGTGTGCATCATGGCGATTGAAAGTGCAAAGAGAGCTACGGACAGAGAGAAAAGTGGCCGAAATATGAAAGCTAAATGTAATTTAGGACCACCATCCGTAGTAATCGTTATCAATATGGAGCCTATGAAGTTGGAGATTTGGTGGACGCCAAGGAGAATACGAGATTTTTGAAACGCACAAATGTTTCAATTTTTGCGAAGGTCAGATAATTTGCCTTCAATTAATGTGGCATTAGTGGAATAATACATTGTGAATTATGATCCACAGGATGGATCGAGCATAGTACAAGGGCGCATTATCGATATTAATGAGAAGATCCTCAAAAAAGTACTGTTTCTTCCAGTTAGAGAGATTGCGATGGGTGTTGAGGAGTCCAGTGACTTCCGACCAAGAAGTTATTTCAAAGGTGGCATGTCATCATTTGAGAAGAACCAAGGTTGGCAGACGGCTGAGGCAATTACACCAGAGCTCATAGAATGGTTGCGCTTTGTACTGAGGCGTCTAGGGTTGTATTAACACAACACATATATGTCAAGATAGTTAATGTTTGCAGTGGTAGGGACGTTTGAAGGGATGGTATTCAATTGGGCAGCTTATGTAGCAACCTGTATTCATGCAGAAATGGGAGCCAAGCACAAAATAGCAAAGTTTACAATATTGCTATGTTCTAATTATAAGTATGTTGTGATTGCATATACATTGCAACAAACATCACCAGTAGAGAGAAGTTCTGAACCAGTGCCAGTGCCTCCGTAGTGAGAATGGAATTTGTTGGCACAGAATATCAATACAACGGAGATAATACATGAAATTGGAGAATCCAATTATCCAATGGCACCGAAAATGGATCCGATTCGTTTGGTGGTGGAAGAGGAGAATGAAGTCCCGACGTTGTTAGATATCAATCAGTTAGCATTTCTACAGGGCCGACTACCGAAAGGCATACATCTTAAAAATGCTCTATTGAAGTACATTTCACAAATACATTGCATGGTACGAGCATTGGATGTAGAGCGTAGTAGTAAACAGGAATTAGAGGCAAGCAAAAAGGTGATATCAGAGCACACGTGAAGAATTGAAGAGCAAGAACGGATCATCCAGGCGAATATAAAATCCAAGCTGCTATTGGAGCAAAAAATTGGAAAATAACAGGAAGCTTGGGATAAAGAAAGAGAATGCATGGTGGAGACCAACAAGCAAGAACTATTCCGGGCTCGCAGTCATTCAATTTTGGAATTAAAAAAAGTGAAGGGTCAGTTGGTAATGGAACGAGAAAGGCCGAGTTATTGGCGCAAGAGAAATTGGTATTGAGTGACCAGATAATGGAGCAATTAAGGGCTAAAATTGAGGCCTTGAATGCCGAGGTAATAAGATTGGTAGAGGATTTAGTCAATATTGGTCAAGCACTAGTATCGACGTTGCTAGTTCTCGAAGTTCCAGAAGAAAGGAGTCACTTTCAGTGCTAGTTGGAATTGAGAGATGCTAAGATCTTGAAATTGGAAGCTCAAGTCCGTAAACTGGGCGAGTACAATGAAGACCTTTCAGTTCAGTTGAGGTAGGAGCCGATAGAAGGATTGGAGGAGGACGAAGATTTGCAGTTGGAACTGGAATCGATGGAACCAATAACAGATACTGCGGCAATTGATTAATTAGATAGGCCAGAGGGATCGCAATTTTTGTAGAGTTTTGTTAGATAATTTTTAGATAGGTATCAATTGAATATTTGTGAGGACGTTGCAGAGATAGGAGTGGGGCTATATAGAATAGATATTAATTTGTTTTTGAAAGATATTGGTAAAATATATTAATAGTCCATATAATAAGAAATTCAAGAGGACGGATGAGTGATTTAATTATTAAAAGTGGTTAATTATAGAATTACGATTAGAATTTGGAGAATCAGGGGAAAGTATATAGGAGTTGTAGAAGTTAATTAAGGTGCCATTGCTGTGATAGTTGTGAGCCAGGGTAAGCTTGGTGCTACCTCTTTTCTTTTGTTTGTTATTTTCTTTGAATAAGAGGATTGAGAGTTTTTGAATATTATGAAGTGAATTATGGAATGGAAATGTGATTGGTATTATTTGAAAAGAAAAAAGATTGAATGTTGAAATCTGATTGTAGTTCAGCAGAGAGAATGAGTCTGTGTTTGTGTGAAACACCGTAATGTGAATGGCAGTTTTGTGTGAAGAATTCCAGTGATTGGAATGAGGGTAATTGTGTGCTGAAAGCTGTGAGGGCGCAGTATTACAGTTGGAGATTATGAGGGTGAATATATTGGTGGAAATAGCAATTACTCGTATGATTGAATTGTTATAAGAAAGAGATCGATAAGGTGAAGGAGGAGATTATAGTTTCCTTGTGTGTTTAGATATTGGAAATAGAGACGATACATTTAGGAGGTAATTGATTGTGTGACCCTAATGTGAATACTTAAGCAACTAGTCATTCCCCGTGTTCGAATCTCCTTATACGGGTTTATTTTCATTAGATTAATTTGGAATAAGTAAAACGAGCAATCACAGGATATATTTCTACTTGTTTCTTTTAATTGTATAACTTCTTGATTTAAATATAAGACTTCATTATGACTTCTTTCATTAACATAGCAATAGTTCTTTTGTAATTAAGATTGCCAATACATACTACAAAGAAGATTTTGTAGAAGTATCCAAAAGATTGTAAGATTTAGGACCAAGGCTTAGTTATAGGTTGCTTCTAATGCAACTTTATAAAAATAAAAAAATTATGGCACAAGTTTCAATAGCTATATGATATATCTATAAAAGTCTAAATACCTAATTTATATTTAGAGAATTTATTAAAGCTTATTAAGAAAAATATTACCTTTCCAAAATGTTTCTATAAACTCCTATTTATTTCTATTTAATTAGATTGTATGGATATTTTTTATATGTTTTATTTACTCTATAAAATATTTCAATTTTTGTCCAAATTATATTTCTTTGAATTAATTTTCTTTCTTAAAAAGCACAAAGAATATATTTTTCTATCAAAAGCCATTTTAAATTGTGTTTTTTTCAATTTTTGAAAATATTTTTTTTTAAATCTTCAAAAAAATACATTATTCAATTACCTGTTATTTATCTTTTTTTATAAGTTTGTATATATATATATATATATATATATTTGGCTTGACTTTTAAACACATCTTTATTTTTTATTTTTTATTTTTCTCTCTCTCTCTAGACAATGGAAGTTTAATATATGCATGTAGCCAATAATGTAGAAATGATCTCTAAGAAGTATGTTATCTATATCTATTTTACATGCTTATACTAAATTTGCTGAATAAATGTGTATAAATTAGATAGTTGTATTAAGCACCAATTTCTTATTTGGAAAAACTGATCATACTTGTGTCATATTATAAACTTGATGACTCTTTTGAAGCATTATTACTAAACAATCCATTTTATTACTTTAAACAACATGCTTTCATGAATACCAAGAGTTTGCACCAATATTAGATGTGTTTGCTTAATTCCATATAATCATGTGAATAGCTGGGTCTAAAACTAAACTTGCAAGCCATACCACAATCTTATCATCACCTTCAAGTTCATATCACCTCAAACAACTTATTTTGTCGGTACCAACTTCCGTATAAGTATGAATGACTACCAAACTTTAGATGACGAATCCAGATTCTTTGGATGATTGCTCTAAATACTTGGAAAGCGAGAAGAGAGATCTTAACGCAAAAACTAACGACAGAGGGAAAGAAAGTAAGGGTGATGCAAGATGCAGATTCGAGTAGAGATCTCCTTGGTTTGTGGCGCAAGACATGTAAGGAAAGCACTGTGTGGGACCCCTGCAAACTAAGAACAATCTCACTCCAAGACGGAACCTGTCGGTCGTATATTCGTCCTTCCTCTTCACCGGGGACACCGCCCTGCAGGCTGGAGTTCGGTTCTCAGACAATTCTTGGTGTGCGGTCTTGCGTGTTGGCCCTGATTAGTTATTTGCGTATTAACAACACTACATTTTTTTGCTCAAGGGCTTTCTACAACAAGAATTTAAGACCGTTCTCCGACACGAGTGAGTTTTTATTAAGTAAAGAAGTCGCCACATCATCAGCTAGGTTGGGTTATTTTCTCATTGACTTGCATAGGCAAAACACCTTGTGTAAATTTAACTGGGTGCTGTTGTGTGACACCAGTGGAGAATTTGGCTCAATGCGAAGACAGATTGCATTATGTGGCCAGAAGCTCTCTGACATTGATGATGCTGTCTGGCACTGCCCAGCAAACTGGGGTCCACTTCGCTCTTGATTTCGGCAGGTTTCAGTCGAATAAAAGGCGCCGTGATAGCAAGATCTGATCAGAGTTTACTATCACCATGAAGAACAAAGTGGGTGTTTCGGCTCAAGCCTACCGAGAATGGGACATCGATGGAGGCTTGGGAGAACCGGTGACGATCGATCAGCCGATATATTTCTCCCCAGTCCCAGATCGTCAATGTACTTGGGGGTGTTTTCTGTCTCCTTGACAGCACTGCGTTATTTTCCTTCAATTTCATGATTTCCATTTTAGTTTATGTCAATTTTTACAAGTTGGGTACTGATGGTGGTTGACTTGATTCGAATAGGCATGGGGAATCCAGCCTCAAAAGGACGTCGCCGGACTGCTTAATGTGCTGGAGCAATACTGTATTCTGGAATGCAATTTGTTGCAGTGTCTAGATGTGTGCCTGTGCTTTTCTGGCGCACGATTTCCAACCACTTGTCGACAATCCTCTTCTGCGTCCTTTCCTGCGTTACTAATGATTAGATAGTGTATGGTAGTGTGTGAGCTTTCTCAGGTTATGGTGAGTCGCTCCCACTTCCTTGTATGCAACATGCCAGACCTGTCAGGAGGCTTCACAAAGCCGTTTGTGAACTTTTTATAAACGACAAGCAACGATTCACGTTGTACAGAGAATTCTGCTAATGGAGTGAATATAATCTTGGCTCTTGGCTGAACAATCTTGCTTGAGCTTTTGTTCGTTTTAGAGATTGTATCTTGTTTGGAACTCACTTCTCATCGAAGTCTACAGCTGCCTTCACCATTATTCTCCATTTTTGGGTGACATCTCACTCTCTGAGGCCTCACCGTCGTCTGCTTGTATTGTTGTGTGCATCTCCTTCCTCGCTCAATGACGCGCTTTCTATGTCCCGGTTAGAAAGGGATTAAGGTTCTACAAATCACAAATCTCCACACAATATATTCTCCTCCAACAAATATTGTCCCCATCGATTGACGGACTTAGTTAGTCGATCCACTGTTGAAGTGAAATTTCGTCATGAAGAAATGCGACATGATGGGGACGAGAAAGGAGATACTGTTGGGTATTGTCGATATGCGTGTGTCCGTCACAAATTTGCGGAACTTCTTCTGTTCTGGGAAGTCTACGTGAAAAGAAGGTGAAGGAATTTTTGGTTTCGGATTCTTCAGGTACGCCCTCGAGCTGACCATGAGCTATCAATTGCAGCTGTTTTTGCGGTGACCAACAGCGCAAGAGATGGAACACGTATTTGCAATCACAGAACCTTGGAAGGTCGGAAGGTATGAGATCAACAAGGTGCCTCGCAAGTAGAGAGTTTTGAGATGTTGGGTCATGCTCCATAAAATCATCAGTTTGAAAGAAACTTCGGGTCCGTGAGTAAACGTGGTCCTTTTGTGATGTGGATGATCTTCAAAGCTTTCCTTTCCACGCACATCTCTGATCTCATCAGCCAAGATTGCAGATCCAGTGGTTTGTCAGAGGTGAGCATTCAGTACGCGTTGTGTCTGGGTCGGAGAACTCTAGTTGGTACCAGAAAAGAGTAGGTGAAGAAAAGTAGTTCCTGATGGCAAGATTAAAGCTGGGAGAAGGTGCTACGCAGGAATTAGAGGAGCTTTAAAAGCATCTTCTCCACGATAATCGGACATGCGCTACTTGGATGATGTCTTGAAACTGGACCTGTTATGGAAATTTTCAACTAAGAAATTTTAGAACACAGTTGGAAGAATAAAATTGGCAAAAATTGTTGCAACCATGAGCATGGATTTGTAGTTAAGGGGAAAAGTTATCAGAGCTTCTTTACAGCAGGTGATTGAGTTGTGTGGGTGTAGTTGGGCTGATATTGACACAAACACCAAGTGAAGTTTCAAAAATAATCGATGGAGGCGTTATGCACTTCACAATCAGGCCTGTTTCAACCAACCGAGAGATGATGTTCTGGCTGCGTAAGAACTTCACCGCACTTCACTCCGGCTTGTGTTTTGACCTGGCATGGGTATGAAATCCTCGACATGATTTTTTGGAACATCGTGGAAGCTGATTTATATTTCACAACGTCAATTCACAGCCACTTGAACGGAAATTAATATGTATCAGTATGAGCTTGTCTGGTAGAGTATGTCATAAAAAGTAGATCAATCTCTGTTAGGAATTAAAGTAGATCTTAGAATCCGTTCTTCACAGAAGTTTTCATTTGCGAAAAAGTTGTCTGTAAACAGGTAAGAACGTCGACAAAGTCGTGCGAATGGTTCAACAAGTCGCTGAAAGATGTATGGACCAGGTTTTTGGATCCTAAACTTGTTCGGAGGCTGCTTCATGATGTTCATGTTCTTTTCTCACACCCTGTTTTTGTTAAAAGAGTGATACTGTTCCTTGTCATTGCATATATCCCCGATATGTAAGCTATTATGGACTCGTGTAGATTCAGCTTAAATTCTTAGACCTGCAAAGCAAAACTATGTTAAAAAGTTTGTAAATGTATGCAGATATGGTGTTCCCATCTCTAGAATGTACCTTGTCCAAGGATGATGTTAGTCTGAGTTTTTTGAAGGGTCGTTTCCTCTCACACAAGTGATCTTTGTGACATTCGGAGAAGAAAAACCCAAATTGCTATCGAAGTGTAACCTACAAAAGATAACATATTCTGATTGCTTGCTCTGGTTAAGTGAAACGGCCAGGTGCGGCAAACCTGTTCCTATATCCTATCTCCTTTTGAATTGTTATTGCCTCCGTCTGTGGCAATTGGGGTTGGTGATAGTTAACAATATTGCTTGCAAAAGTGGTGTCTATTGAGTTTCAGCAGTTACAGAATCTAGATTGGTCATTCTGGTTTCACAGTTTCATGTTGAGGTGCAGGCATTTTTGCTAGAAACAACTCACTGGTCGATGGAAGACGAGTAGATTTGTAATTTGCAACTGTTCGTGTCAAGTTTGATGCGTCTAATGCATGAACTTCATATTCTTTCTTTCATCAAGACACGTGCATTAGATCGAACTGAATGTATGCATGAGTGGTGTGTGCAGTACATTTATTTTTGCCTCTGTTCATGTACCACAGTTAGGAAGTCTCATGAATATTTTGGAGAAGATTCATTTAAGTTATGACTTCTTTTTTTGACCTTTGGCAGCAGATGTTGAAGATGGTCTATTAGCGGAATACTAATGCGATGAGCATGTTCATTGCTGCAAAACTGGGGAGTATACTGCTCAAACAATCGGTAGAATTGTTGTAAATAACATCCATGTTGAGGGTGATTTGCATGTATGTTTGGTCTATCTTGTGAATGTATTTTGGTAAAGACTCATTGGTTAGAAAGGGCTTTCTAACCCTTTTTTTTCATTAAAAAATGTTTTGTTTTGACTGGGTAATTTTCAGTTTTAATTGCAATAGTCTGTTGTTTTCTTATACCTTTTGAATTGGGGTTACTATATAAATTAGCAGCTTTTTAAGAAGAAGATTTTGTAAAAAAATTAAAATTGAAAGAGTTGAAATTTTTCCAAACAATTTGGAAACATTTATAATGAAAAGAGATATACAATGACAATGGATACTACATGTATTCAAGACATTGGATATGTAATGATGAGATGTCTAGAAATTTTTAAAAGTAGTTCTAAATTTTGTAACTTTTTTACAAATTGAGTTGTGGTATTGCATGTAGTATTATATGAAAGCAAAGAATTTGACAAACTAATCCAAGTTGAAACTTGTCAATGCTTTTGAAAGGAAGAACTTTTTTTTTAAAATTTCAATCACTTAGAATTTACCATTAATCAATCTATAGATATTTCAAGGATAAAAAGTTATTTTCTATAATTTTTGAGCTAATTATCATAATTAATTATCTAATTTTTATAAAAACCATAAGAAATACTAAATTAATTTGGTTCTAATATGAAAAATATAATTTTAAAAAATCTACTTATATTATGTTGGATGTATATTTGTAAGAATCAAGTTTGAATAGTATAATTTATTAAAAAATTATAATTAATAAGTATTGTTAATAAGTAATTACATTTTATTTTTATCACATGAAAATATTTATATAAATCCTTGTAATTTTTTTTAGAAAAATTAACATAAATATATTAATTATTATTTTTTATATTTTTCATAAAACTCAAAAATTAACTTATTTTTTTTAAAAGTTAATAATATTTTTACAAATTACATTCTTATATTTTTGTAGCAAAATCTTATATAAATTTTTTTAGAATAAAAAGATATCAAATAGTAAACTCATTAGAGATAATCCAAATTCTTACCATTGTACTTTTGAAAGAGATATGCAAAATAACATCAAATACAAGAAACACAAGTAAGAAGGACAATCACATTGTACACTAGAGATTGACATGATTTTTTCTCAATCTTAGAGCTACATCCACTTGCTCCTATAATGCTATACTTTTCAACATATTGTTATAACATTAAACTCAAGACAACAAAGATCACACATCCTACCTATATAACTTCTCTCTAAGCTCTATTTTTTAATACATATCAAAAAATTATAATTTTTTTTTGTTGAAGACTTTATTACTCAATTTCTAAAAATAAAAAAGAAGTTTATTATCAAATAAACTTTTCAATAAGAAACTATTATTTTAAAACAAAAAAAATATATTTTAAAGCTATAAAATAAATAATTAATATCAAATTTTTAATATTTTTTTAATTCAAGTATATCAACAAAGAATTTTATGTTAAAAACTTAAAATAATTTTAATTATAAATTTTTTAAAATTAATTAATTAATTAATTGATTAATATTTTTATATCTAAAAATCAAATATAACAATGTATGTTTTAAACATAAGGTGTCTTCTTTTTAATAAAATATTACAAATAAAAAATATTATTCAAATCTACTTGAAAGAAATATTTGTAATTTTTTTAAGTATAAACTTATTAATACAAACTTTCTTAAGATCCATCATAAGGCCATCATTTCAAATTATACTCTTTTATTTTCTTACAATAGATTAAAATGTTATTTAAATAATAAACAACAAAATCATATAATTTTTTTAAAAAAATATATCATTTTTTATATGTTCAAAAGCAGTTGGTGCATGTGTAAGTCTAATAAGCATGACATTATATTCAAAATGCCCATATCTCATTCAAAATGCAATCTTCTATTCATCTCCTTCTACAATTCATATCAGATTTTGTGCTTCTCATATATTTATTTTGAGATAGATATTTACTTGATTCAATAGATTAAGAAGTCATGATATTAAATATAAAAGCCAATTACTTTTTATGATAATTTTTTTAGATCATTGATAATCTATATACATTTGTAGTATATGATATATAGCCAAATCTTTATTTTTAGGTGTAAGAATATTCATGCATGTTGTAAAAAATATGTTGTATTTTGTTATTTATGCCACATCCATTTCTAATGGTAAAAGTAATATGGTTTGGTGTAGATGTCAAAAAATCATAAGCCTAATAATACTATAAATATGTATAGATTATTAATGATCCAAAAAAATTACCATATATAATATGGTTTGGTATAGATAACAAAGTAATTTCAATCATCTCCATATCTTTACTTTTAGATAATCTTGATATTCCTTGTGGTGGTGAATTAAATTGATGTATTATGAGTATTAACTCTCTTATTTTTTCTTGCATTTGTACCATTATATCCATCATTTCAAGAATTTTTTTCATAATAATAACATAAAATAAAATAAAATAAAATAAAAAGATGCATAATATTACTTTAAACAAGTTCAATACAATACTCAAGAACAAAGAAAATTCTTAAAACAATATCAATTTCAGAAGTGGATAATCTAGCATTTCTAATATTCTTATGATTTGTCTAAAATTTAACAAAAAAAAATCCACTCTTAATCAATAAAAGACAAAATTCTAATATTGTAAGTATATTCTTGTCAATCTATTAAGGACAAAAGCTTAAAGAATGAAAATAAATAGGTGAGATATGTCTCAAAGAAAGATGAAAGAAAGAAATTTAAAAAAGTATGTATATTTCAAAAGAAATTAGAATGGCTATTATTAAAGGAAAAGAAAACTATAGACTCTTGAAACTAGACTAGAAGCAAAAAAAGAATTGATAAGAGTAAAGAAGGTTTTACTTTTTTCTTCTATGTATACAATATATGTAACAAACTATGTGGTGACATTCTATAAGTTGTCCAACCCATGTCCAACTTAAAAGATATGTATCTTACTTTTAAGGCAAGTTTTCAATATGTGTACTATATGGCCAATATGTGCAACTAGAGGCCAATTTAGTGTTTTTTTTTACCTAGATATATAATGTTAATAATAGTTTAAAAAATCTATTAATTACATTTATATAACAAAAGAAAAATATCTTGTAAATATCATTTGAAAATTATTGAATGTTACTAACTTAGAAAAAATAAAACTTCATCCATTTTTTTAAAACTATAATTCAAAAAATAAAGATAATTTAAGAAAAAAAATATTTTTTTATAAAATAAAAATAAGTTGAAATAAGTCAAGTAGATATTTCTATAAAAAATGTCATAGAAGTTTTTTATATAAAAATTAAAATTACAAGTATCTTTGAATATATTAAGTTTCTTTAAAAATATTTCAAATGTTTTCAAATATCTCAAATGCTACTATAAAAGTATAAAAAAAATCTAAAAACTAAATTTATAAATCTCATAGTATTTAAAAAAAATAAAAAATGATGATATTTTCATCTAATAGTGTATATAAAGATAACACTAAGACCATCTTTAATCTAATCAATAGTTTTATTATATTTCAAAATTGATTATAAAAAACTCAATTTACTATAAATTTTTTTCTTAACATCTTTTTATACAATAAATGTATATATTTGGAGATACAAATATTTATTTATTAATTTATTTTTTATTTTTTATTTGTCTTAATTTTGATTCTACTTTTTATTTTAATTATATATAGATTCATTATTTTGTAGAAAGTATTTTGGTTTTACATTATTAATAACAAGATTAAAACGTACTTATTCATTATTTTTATTATTTAAATATAATTATATAAGATAGAAAAAACTTAAATTACTGATAGAAATGGATATATATATATATATAGATATATATAAATTAAAACCTACTTTAAATTATATTTTTATATTTTTATAAAATATTATGCTATTAAATTTATAAATAAAATTATATTAGGTATTTTTATAGATAAAAAATGTTAATATATTTATATTATCTATTAAGTAATATCTATTAGATAGGTAATGTAATATATATGTTTTTCATAATCAAAAAACTAATTATATAACCAAATTTTTAGATTGATAAATAAATTTTTGGTTATAATATATATTTTTTACTTATTACCTATGAATTTCTAATACATTGAGAGTTATTTTTAGATGATAATAATGGATCATGGAAGTTTACGGTAATAAAAGTTGTTGGTATGTTTTTTCTTATTTTTAGTTATTATGATTTGAATGTTATTTTTCATAAGAAATATAAAAAACATGAGTTGTTTATAAAAAAATTAAAGAAAATTTAATAAAGAGAACATTTATATGGTTTATATAGTTCATTAAAAGGATGTAACAGCAATTACATTGACAGAAAAATTACATAGGTAAATATGATTATTTGTTATCATGCTTTGGCTTAAAGAAACTAATGAAAGATTTCCAATGTTGTGGATCGGTTTTAGAAATTTATTTAGTTTTCTTTAAATGATTACATCTTGTATTTTGTTTGGTAATTCATAATTTTTCATGTATTTTGGGATCAAGAAATGATAAATCAAAAAGTTGTTATATATTATGTCCTATTTATGCTCATTTATACTAGAGAAATTCCCTTCTTTTTTTAAATATAAGAGATACATTGTTATAAAAATATATATATTTGTAATCAGATAATAACTATTGGTTAGAAGTTAATGAAATTTAAATTTAAGAATCAAGTAGTTGATTAATTGTTCTATATATAATATGTTTTTAAAAAAATCCAAATCATAATAATGTCAGTTAGTTTTTTATTATTACTTATTTTAATCATTCAAAACATTACAATATATTTAGGGGTTAAACTATTGACTTTTGAGATTTAAGTATTATGTAAAAACAGTGTCCTCTTTTGAAGTTTTGGCATTCTTAAAAAATGCATGCCACTTTGTTGTTCTCAATTACCACCACTTTTGGTGATCTTTCATTTTGCACAATTCTTTTTAAATAAGATATTGGTTGCCATTTTACTCTCATGTTTCTTCGAAATAAAAATACCTTTAGATATAGACAACACTTTCAAGAATCTATTTATCTTTTCAATACTCCAGGCATTTGTTAAGAGAACATCGACAACAATTTTAAACAGATTCCAAAGTAGAAGTCTAGAAGAAACATTTATTAAAATATAAAATAAATATGGATTGGACGACAAAAACATAATATACATTAATTTGAATATTTTTTAATACGGTCTTACATTTCAAGTATTAATTTGAAAAAATAAAAGAAAAATAATATATTTATAATTTGTGAACTTTGAAGACAAAGTCAACAATCATATAAAGACCAACATGAATTTTGACTTGCATTTTAATTTTAAAAAATCTGTTGGAAATTATTTTAAAAGAAGATACATAAAAAGGAATTAAATTGAAGTGTATTTTTATTTTATTTTGTTTTATTGTTTTGAAGAATACACATGGTCCAATCTCCATGGAGTGTATCGGTTTTCTACTTTGCTATATATATATATATATATATATATATATATCACTTGCAACTTTTAAGATCCAGAATTAGTTAAAATGAAACTCCTACAGTTGTTGCTATAAAAACTAATTTTGAAGATTTATTCAAAATTGACTTTTCCATCCTCTATAAAACAAATAAAAAAGTAAAAAAAATGAAAACTGTATATTAAAAAATATCTTCGTAAATATGGACGTGGCACTTCGTAAATAATAAATAATAATAATAATAATAATAAATTACATGAATATTGAACGAGACGAAGTGTTTCATCAAATTAGGAAGGAACCCAAGAAATAGTGTGGTAAGAGGAGCGGTGGAACGTCCGTCCCGCCCACCATTACGCGGCAACCGCACAAACAAGGAGGACCCCCCATCACCGTGCCAGCTCTGCACTCGCCACCTCAGCCTGATAAGCACTCCACCTCATCCAATCACTCGGGCCTACTTGGTACCTCCTTCTCGCCACTCCACCAGAGGGAGGTGGGAGAATCCACACACGAATGTGTGTATATGTGTATATATACATACATACATATATCAGTATAAAAAAGATACTTATGAATGAGAAAATATTATGAGCATGTACGAGTGTTTTTACTACCTTGAAATATCCGACTATGTCTGTGTGAGGGAGGGAGGGCGGCATGGCGGAGCCCAGCTGCCCACACCATCCACCTTGCCAGCGTTGCCAGCTTTGCTTTGCTTTGCGTTGCACTTGCCTTTGTTTATCAGACAGCGGCGGGCGCGTCCTGCCAGGCAGGGGAGTGAATGCCCTTTGCAGCCGCCGCCGGGAGAAGCGACTAAAGTAAAGAGGAAGGTTCCGGATTATTCTGGATCTCAGCAAAAGCAAAAAAAAGTAGAAAAAGTACGGAGGCCGATGTGAGAGTGTGAGAGTGTGCTCACATTCTCATCATATCAGTAACTTTCGTAATCGGACTTTCTAATACGAGGAGGGAGTATCCATGCCCAGAGAGCGTTTGTCCGATCTTTCACCCCCGTAGCCCCCTTCCCCCATGCCCTTACAGTGTCGTGGTGTGTTTCTGTTTTTTTTCACCTTGAAACCCATCTGGTAAAGGTGAAAGGGGGAGAATATGTTTCTTTCCCAGATTGCGCCACTATTACGGTTTGTGTGTGCGTGTGTGTATTTTTTCGTGTAATTGACGTGGGTTAATTATCGTAATAGTGAAAGTTTTGCGTAAGTCGGGATTGCGGCGTGAAAAGAGCCAGTTTGCTAACCGTGGATGGGCGTGAGGTGGCAACAGGTGACCGCGTTTTTAATCTTGGCGTATTCGAAGAATGTGGGGTGGGTGGCCCTTGCCTGATGGATGACAATGAAAGGTATAAGAGGACTGTCTAGTCATTGTTATAGAGACCATTCGAGGCCATTTAGCTCTTGCTGGCCTTCGTGTTGTCAAACCTGTCGTTGGATTTCCCCTTTCCTTTTCTGGGTTCGAGCTTGGAGATTGTCGTTTCGTGCTCAAGTTTCGTGCGTGTGGGACGTGATTCGTGAGGTGCGTTTGGTGGTTTGTGTGTTGGGTTCGTTCGTGAGGCACCGGCAGTTTGGGATTCGGTTTCGGGATTCGCGTGATTTCGTAAAAACTGGCAGACGCGAAAGAGTTCGAAGTAGAACTGGAGCATGCCAACGAGAGGGTGGTACGACTGCTTTACGAGGCGCTAGCGTCGGGCGATGCAGCGAAGGTCGGGGAGATAGTGGACGAGGAATTGGAGTGGTGGTTCTATGGGCCACGGTCGGAGCAACACATGATGCGATTGCTCACTGGTGTTACTTCGTGTGACACCTTCACCTTCAAGTTGACGGGCATTCGCGGAATTGGCAACAGGGTTTTCGTAGAAGGTGAAGCACCATCAGCTCGTGGAAGTATATCAGGCCTGAAGAAGCCTGTGTACTGGGTGCACATATGGACGCTGAAAGACGGTAAAATCACGCAGCTGCGAGAGTATTTCAATACCGCAATCCTGGTGACAGACTTGAAACCGACGGCGCCAACTCCACACGAGATTCAGCACCACCCATGCGCGTCCCTGTGGCATAACCGCCTTTGGAAGTCCAAGGAAGGTCGGGAACTGCCTGGACTGATTTTGGCTATCTGAGGATCCTCAAACCAGTGGAATCCGTGTTTCAGGAATTCCTTGAGATGTAGGTCCTTATGGCAGATCCGGGTTAGCCGCGCACAGTGTTTGGTCTCTCATAAAGAGGTTTACAAGGCTTTACATAGATAATCTACAAGCGCATGAGTCTACGTTGGGGTTTCAGGAACTTATAGCGGTTATAATTTGATAGATTATGGTTATCGTTTTGAACTTCATCGGCATAAATAACAGAATGTCCAAGTGGCTGTGTGATATATTTATTTGCATGTCAACTTGTGCTTACTGTGTGGTGTGTTTGGTCTGTGTTACTTGGTAAGTCTTCTGTCCCTCTGATCCCCATACCATCGACCAACGCTATGTCGATTGTGGAAGAAATCCAGGTGATTTTCTCTCCTCCAGTTTCGTCTCAGCCGTTTGGTTTCCCTATTCTATTTCTGCGTAGATCTCATTTCTTGCGACGGATATTCCCATGACCCCGCTATTTGTGGTTTGTAGTGCGCATATGTCGACTCTGGGCTGGAAGTTCAATTACGCACTAGTTTCTGAAACTAGAAAGTTACCGGTTCTTTCAAACATCACGTCAGTTCGATCGACACGGTAACGACGTGTCCTTCGGTGAGATATTTTGCGAGGGACACAATTCCTAGCATTGAATCCTAGAATGGAATTGTCCTGGTTTGAAGAATGTTGCATGGAATCAACATTTAAGAGGACAAGCCACTGTCGCAGATCTCTTCCTGACAGGTCGGATACTCGATATTCACGTCAATGATGAATTTATATAATATTGCACATTTACCCAGTGTACAAGATTACATTTTGCACGAGGAATGTTTCAGAACATGTTCGTAAATCGGTTTTGACCTCTACGCTTATAATAATAGTACATTGGGTGTGTGAAAATCCCCTCAACATGAAGCTTGAACTCTGTCAGGACCAAAGCATTACTTCTGATGACGACAGCTTTACTAATCAGATAGTTCGGTTCTGACGATGAAACAGGAGACCTATCGTTTTAGAAGGTATGAGTCATATCTTCACCTGAAATACTGCCAATATTCCAAACTTGGCGGAATGTGGGTTTTTCTGAAGTTGATTATAATAAAAGAAATGATAATGTTTACAACACGGATTCAAATATAATTGAGGTAAGAATAGAAAAATTCCTTTAGTTGTATTCAAGTAAAACTGTTATTTGGATTCAATTCTCATTCCAAAAGAGATCCCATACAGCTACCCTAGGAATAATTATCTGGTGACTAATTTCACAGCTAACTGTGTTGACTAATGCCCTTCCATGTGTGTGTGTAGATAAATGCATGAAACCTATAAATAAATGAATAAATAAGAACTACTTTTAAAACATATATTTATGAATCTATGAAAACAAAGTAAAAATTCTTTCATGAAATGAAAAATATCTTCAAGAAGGCCTCGTGAAGACCCTCATTATTAGGCAAGCAAAAGAATATGATGCGATGTTTGGACCACAAAACCATTGCACAAAGCCCATGAAGAAGAAGGCAAATGCCCATCAGCTTTAGCGGTGTGTGATACTTCTCAAATAAAATAAAATAAAATAATGCTCTATTAAATAAGAATGAAAATGAGATTATTTATTTTAGATTCACACATATGGCCATCAGTTCACTGTCCAATCTTTGTCTGGAAAGAAGGTTGTACAAAGTGACAAATTCAATGTCAAGATTTGCCCATTCAGTACTCTAGATATGCATGTATGGATACCTGGAAGGTACTCCTATAGATTCAACATCTTTTGTTGATTGAGTAGAATTTTCTCCAATTGCTATGACCTCGGAGTACACATTTGTAACCAACCCTAGTAGTCTATGAGCTGGGTGGATTTATTATTGGTATTTTTACATACACACATAGAAATATATATATATATATATATATATATATATATTAATAAAAAAATTCATTCATTTTTTCTTCAATCACTAAATAGTAATGGCAAATAGAAAAGAAGCTTGGAAAAATTTAGAGATGCAAGCATCAAATATGTGCATTTGTACACTTATCTTGTTTGTATGGGATTTGATAGTATGTAATATGAAGATAAAATATAAGAGTAATAAATAACATTAAAAAATAATCAAATATATAATATTTTTTTGTTGCAAAGCTGGTTTTTTTTTAGAAGAATTCATGATAGTTTTTTGAAATACAAATCATCTTGTCAATGTAAAGAGAATTTGTATTTGATTCAAAACAATTTACCAGTTTCTACATCATGTAGTTTCCTTTAATTTAAACCCTCAAAAAACTTGTTTTTATTATTTGTATTTTATGTTGTAACCTTAGAGGGGCTTTGTACTTAGGAGAGAAAGCAAAGGTCATAACTTTTGAATTCTTTGATTGGCTAAAATTGAAAAGCCTCATTTATAATTCTACAAAATCTATCCAAAATTCATAAGAAGAAAAGACGAGATGGAATACAGTTTTTCTTTTTACATGACATGAACAATGCTATTCTTATAAAATTTGTACAAAAAACATCAAAGAAGAGATTTTATAAAAAATTAAGAAATTAAATTAAACATTATTTTAAATAAATATTAAAATATTATATATATATATATATATATATATACATTATTTGTGATTATTGTTAGAATCAAGATGTGAATTAATATATTTAGAATGATTATTAAAAAAAAGGTGAATTGGTCCATTTCAAGACTTCTTCTCACATTACACCATCTCCAAAAATTATAATTTCCAAAATATATAATTTTTTTACCAAACAAGAAACCTATGTGAAGGTTGGTCACCATGACTTTTCAAAGTGTCTTTCAAAATTTATTCGTTGATTCTTCAACCTATTCAACTTAAAACAATATTTCTAGACTACAAAGTATGAAGGTAACTATGGGTTTGAATGTTGGTAATATTGCAATCAAATATGGTTTTACAAAATTGAGGTTCCATTAGTTACAAATATTGGACAAAGTATAACAAAATATACAGAATTCATAAATCATTTTTAAAGCAATTAGTTAGAATTATTATTGCAATCACAAATTTCTTGACTCATACTGGACAACGCAGTAAGAGTGTGATCCTACAATTTCATTTAATTATTAAGTACGAGCACCATGCCATTTTCTGTACAACCTCTGGAGGTACGAAATTGCACGTAACGAGGACTGTGACTAGAATTGTTAGATAGAGTTGAAATCGATGGTGTCTAAATCTACTTGCAAGGTTGTACTTATTATCAATACTTGCAAGGTTGTACTTATTATCAATACTTGTAAGGTTGTACTTATTATCAAAATCCTGCTGATGCAGAGACAAAGATGTATCCCGCAGTGTTTTTGAGAACAACGGCCAATGTGTAGGCCTGTACATGTGTAGATTTTCAACAGTTAGGAAAGAAGAAAAGAAAAGTGAAGAACTTTATGCATTGCAGCGGACGCCTTTCATGCCCAAAACCGTTTTGTCAGATCGTAGGAGCAACATTTTTTTTTACTCTGTGCTCTTGAATCATGCACTTTCAGAAGCACTTTCAGAGGCACTGTCAGAAGCACTTTCAGAATCCAGAATGCTGCTAATAAATTACTTCTTCACCATGACCTTTGTGAGCTCTTCGGAAACACAATTCTGGTTGTCTACATAACTTTCCGTAACCATTTGCTCTTTGATGACATGGCTATTTTGCTGCGCCGAGGACCCATTCAGCAAAGCAACAAAATTGTATGAATCTCGTTGGAGGTTGTAAAAATTTCACTGGTACTTCACCATGTTTCACCTCAATAATGTGGCAATGTCCAGCTGGTGAAGCTTCCAACATTAGAAATTGCTTCGCCCACAAAATATGGAATCCATGCAAAGGTCTCCAATCTGAAATGCAAGGAATTCCAGTGTCATTCATGCAGCACCAGACATGGAGTGTAACAAAACTTGACTGCGTGTGTGCAGTTTACTCCAATGCAAAAAAATGCTAGTTCTTATTCATGTGATAAGGTCAATAAATACTCTGCTGAAGACTTGTGTAGGAGAGAGCACAAGTTTTCAGCACGTGTCGCACATGGTCCAACATTCGTACAATTGTTCAGTGATCTTCAAAACATGTTTCTTTGTATGCCCCTGCTCATGGACATGGTCTAGTTTCTCAGTATCGGTAGGGATGAAGAGACTACACAAGCGCCGGATTACAGTTCCATTGAATGGTAAACCAAGAGAATGATAGAACAGGAAACATCAACATCCAGCAAAAAGATGATCAAGTGACACTGAACCTAGACTGATTATTCACCAACGTCGCCAGGATTAATCCTTGGTGTGGTGTTTTCCAATCAATCTGTTGTACAAACTCCTTGAAGAGATGGTACTGCCGTGGTCCTGTCCTTGAAAGGCTCCTAACTGCCGTTGTAGCGTCTTACTCATCCACCGATTGCCAGCATCTGGAGGACATGTCTCTGATGTAAGAGGAGCTCTACTGGTTTTAGGTGAGTTCTTCAACAATCTTGTGATATTGTGTCACACGTTGGAAAGTGGAACAGCAGTTGTGACATCCCCGACCATAGATCACCTCCTACAAAGCATTTTCAAAGTCCGGCGATTTCTTGTTCTGCACACGAACATAAATCCCCTTATAACTCCCAATTTTTCAGTTTTCAGCCATGGCATGTCACTTTGACATGTGGAAGTTCGTTCATCAGTTTAAGCGTCAACAATCAATCCTTGTGCTGACGACTGGACCACTCACTGTATCGTTTACAAGAAACAAAAATTCCCAACTGGACAATTCAAATACAATCTGATGGTTACTGGTGCTCAACCTGTGCAAGATTCTAGGCGAATCTTACAAATAATACGAAGTTATGTGTGTGCGCTAGTGAGTACACTTTATCACAATCAACTTGAGACGAAAGCATCGCATGGCTAAGGAGATTCTTGGCATGTCAGATAATTTTTCTGCACCGGCAGGAAGCTTAATGACAAGAGCTGGCAGTGTCCTATCATAAATCTCATCTTCAAAATGAAAAACTAGGGGTAAACAACCACACTTGCTCTTTAATTTTGACAAGCTTCACAAAATCATAGTGTCCCCAACTTCCCGTAGCTCCATCATCTGCATATATTATCAGCATTTTACATCTCCAGAACTGAATTTACAATGAGCTGAGCTGTTACATTTGTGTTCGTAATATACGCTACCCAGAGAGACATACAAACTGAATTTACGGTCATCGGGCAAAAAGTACTCCATCCCAAGAAAATTTTGAAGAATTTCAATTCAGAATACAAAG